TATATATATATGTATATATATATATATATGTATATATATATATATGTATATATATATATATGTATATATATATATATATATGTATATATATATATATATATATATATACATATAATGGCGATAAGATTCGGGTTGACCGGAACGTCGACCGAGGCACATTAAACATCCTGCTCAGGCTCGGCTCTTCACGCCACGCCAACACCAGTGTCAGACGCTACCAGGAGTACGAGCCTGTCCCTGCAAGCGGGCACATCAGGAAACAGTAAGCTTTTCTATAAATACCCTCTCATTCTAAAAGAGAGGGAGGAGGACAACCAACAAACCCCCTGCGACTATTCATTGACTTGATTGTCGGAGGGGTCGGGTCGAGCTCTCCCGACTCGACCTATATGCAGATGCGAAGTCGAAGGTCTCCACTAGACACGCAAGCGAGGAGCCATCTCTCGGAGGAAACGACGACCCCGTCCCGATCGGACCACTGCAACTGGCCACCTCAGCGGTCTCAAGGGTCGTCCCGGGAGGATCCCCCATCATCCGGACCCGAACCAAGCCGCGTCGGCCCCGAGGTCACGACTTAAAGTTGTTTACACCAACAACATATATATATATATATATATATATATATAAAACACGTGACAGTCGATTTAACTAACTCACGATTTGGAGCATAGGATCGGACAATCTTACGGTCCGGAGTGAGATTATCGAGATGGAGATTACGGACCATAGGACTCGGGTTGACTCGCGAGTCGACTCGGTACAATTGGTCGACTCGTCCGAGTCTGACTCGAGAGAGCCCTAGCTTTTTGTCTGCTGTCGGTAGCCAGGGCAGGAAAGACGAGAGAGCCCTAGCTTTTTGTCTGCTGCCGCTGCCAACATCCCGGCCGAGCCACCTCCTCTCGGCCACTAACGCAAGGCGGCGCGACTTCCCGCTGCCGTTGTCGCAGGCCAAGATGTCTCCTCGCGTTGGTACTCCCTCTTTTGTCTCTTCTCCTTCCATCACCTCTTCTCTTCTCTCCTCCCCTATCGCCTCCTCTCCCTTCTCCTCCCTTCTTCTCCCTCTCCTTCCCTCTCTTGTCTCTTCGCCTCCCTTCTCTCGTCTCTTTTCTTCCCCTCTCTTCTCATGTGATCTCCTCTCTTCCTCTTTTTCTTTTCTGTCATCTCCTCTTTTTAATTTATCTAATATCCATATTCAATTGTCACATGCCTTGCAATAGCGGTAACCCTTGTAGTGTCAGTTGTTCTTGATGCAAATTTTTGATATCATCATTCGTTTCCTTTCCTTTTTTTTCTTTTCTTATGATGGTGATTTGATGCAAGGGCTTCTGTTGGCCTATTTATTTCTTTTCTTACACGATGGTTGGAGGTCTGGTGCTGTAGTTGATTGATATGAACTTTCTTGTAGGACACAAGCGGCCAAAGACATTAGAGAAGTGCAAAATTATGAAGCATTCTAGAAAGAAGCTTCTTGGTGATAAACCAAAGGATGGTCCTTTGCCATCTTCCACAGGTCTGATTCTCTACTTTTTTTATTTTTGTGTTTTCTCTGAATTTCTAACATTTGATTAAATTAGGCCGTTCGAGAAGTACAAATGACTCATCTATGCCTGTTAAATAATGTCTACAGGAGCAGACAATGTGGTACCTAAACTATTTGAGTTTGATAATCTAATCTTAGTAACACTTGTTTGATATTGTGAGCTGAACTCACCACATCTATGTCACACAATTCTAAATAAAGAACATCTGTGGGACCCTTTAACACTTGTAGAGGACATTTGTGTTTTCTCAATTATGGGTTTACCTTTTGAGCTAAACATCTCCTTGTAATCCTTTATCTTTATTTGATTTCAGGACATTCTCTTGACAAACCTTTAAGTGATGTTGGTCTAGAGGACGACACCAAGGATGCATCAGTATTTGACAACTTGTTGAAAATATTGGGATCCAACAGCAAGAAACTTGCCTCTATATACAGGAAGAGGTTAGTGGAAACTAACTATTTTTTGTTTGGTTACAATGGGATCAAAGCTAATGCAGATGTCATTCTTATTATACTCATTATTCTAGTAGTGTACTGCAATTTTTTCTAATTATAACTTTTGTTTTGAACTTGGTTATACACATTGTATCTTGTTCATCAAACTTAGATCAGATGATGACATGACCTTGTATATATTCAGTGAGATATAGAAATATGAGAGCAGCACAGACTACCAAAACACTCTTTCTGGTGGCTAATAGCTGGAGTGCAATGAAAAAAGTAAATAGGACATTGGTCCCTCATATTTTTCAATAAACTATCATGGAAAATATAATTTATCTTTAGAGGAGCATCCATAACAATTTTCTTTTATAATTAACATTAATGTTATGATGGCTTCTTGGAGATAATGTACATTCAAGTTGAATATTTTTATGTTAAGAATCTTTTTAATTTAGTGCTCCAGAACTTTATAAATGGACATTGTATTATAATCCCCAGTTAATATTAATTCATGTTCTCATTCTATTTAATTAATTCTATCCTTAATTAATGCATAAATGTTCTTAGTCTACTAGAGAATGCACTAAACAATGCCAATTCTGGCTTAATGCTAGAAACCATGATGTGCCATCGGAAACATGTTACCATTTTAATGTGCAAAGATGGTGTTTCCCACAATTTCATGGTTTCCGAATGAACTAGACACTCAGTGCTATGGTAGCTACCACAACATAGCTCACTGGTCAACTATTGATATTGATTTTTCCATCAGGGAGCAATCTATCAAATACTCTTGTGCTTAAGTTGGACTGGTTCAATATTTGCATTACTTCTTAATGGTGGAATTTAGTGTGGTAGCTAGTTATAGTTTTCTTAAATCACCATGGAGCCTCTGAGTTAAAGTAATGGCCACCATATCTATGGAAAGACATTTCAGAAAGGTTCGGTATCACAAAATTACATACATCATTTAGATGTGCAAGACTTTAAGAACTACAATCAAAATGATCCTACCGGAGATAAAAAAAAAGAGATACTTCATTTGTACGACAAGGGCATTCTAATTGTTTGGATTGAAATGAGATGCTTGACTGATGTGTTCAGAGTTCAGACATTCATTAATAATTAACTGTCATATTGACACAGGTACTTTTGTGATTATTTTTTCTCTTAATTTTTGGACTGCTATATATGTAGCATACTCATAACGGTACTTTCACTCTTCCTATTTTGTTATATTGTATGCTTTATGTAGGCAAAGAGAACAAGAGGGTAGAAGTGATACCGAGGAAGAAGATGATAGTCGATCTCAATCTTCTAGTTTACCTGATGGGGCGGATACTGGTGCAGGTTTCATTTACTTAACCAAACCATTTGCATTGTGTATCTTGCTCATCTACATTTTCCTACAATATAGTTTCTACTTTGTTTAGTTACTACTGTAACA